GGGTTGCTCCAAATCGTGGCAACCTTGCTCATGATACCAAATAATGTAGGGCAGACCTTAGGGTTGCTCGATCTTCATGAATTGGAGGTGGATTTGAGGAAGGATGCGAAGTACACAAGGGAAAACGAGAGGAATCACAAGGGAAAGAAGCACAAATCAACACACATGTTGCAACACAAGATACATTAGGATAAATACTTGATTCAAATCATCCAATAGAGAGAGATGGAACAAGCTAGGGTGCTTGCCCAAGTCCGAGGACAAGGAGAACTTGACGCTTCAACGGACTTCTCCACAAGTGGAGGTCTTGATACTCCTATGGAGTCTTCCCCTCAAGAGAAGGCCTTCTTCTCCATGAGAGGAGTTATCTCCACAATGGAGGAATCCCACAAGGCTCTAATGTCTAGTTCTACTTTGCTAGCCCTAAATTGGAGGAGGGGGAAAGGTATATATAGGTCCACCCATGAAGGGGTAAGTGGGCAGGGAAGATACATTGGCCATGGGCCCAAAGTCACTACACACTGGTGGGGTCGAAAGCTTTGGGTAGGTTCTTTTTTTCTTTCGAAATGGCAGCATTCATTAGGAAGAAAAGAGTTGTTCGGTTAATTGGGGAAAACCGAGTGAACCAGATTGCCCAGTTAATTATGGAGAACCGGGCAAAAACCATCACCACCGCTGAGCGACACGCATAAGATACCCCACGCACACCACTCCAACGGGGCCTCACTGAGACAGCATGTAGGCGTCATCGTCATCATCCCTCCCCTAGAAGCGTCATCGCCATCCATAAACCCTGAGCAGAAGACTCCAACTTCGCCTTAGGTGATCGTCGACCCAACCCACATTGTAGAAGTTGTGTGAAGATGCATGAAGATCCGCGCCAGAACTCGGCCACCTGCGACCAGACAACGCAGCTCCGACTCTGAAGGAGAACCACGAAGAACTAGGCATGACTGGCGTTGTAGAAGATCATCGAACGAACCACCCGCTGCCTGTTATCGTAGGCCACCGGGACCCGCTACCGCAGCTTCGACTTCGCAACAACAAACCGGCGGAGGCAATCGTGCGAACACGCCGGAAAAGAGCCGACTACCTCAACCATAGCCATGTCTCCAACATTGCTCCCTCATCATCGTTGCCACAGAAGCCTCGACACCAAAACTGTCGTCTTCCAGTGGTCCTGCATGCCAGTACCCAGCTCCAAAGACGAAGCCCCCATGGGGGAATACAACACCAAGGCGACATCCTCGTGATCAAACAAGATCAACGGTTGTCCCCGGAGCAGTGATCCACACGGGAGGGGTATGGCAGCAAAACAGTGATGCCTACAAGAATGTAAGCGACGGCCACGACCGCCCCCACCGCTAGTCACGGCCACGACCGAGACAGGGTTTTCACCCAAGCACCCAACACCACCTCATCCGCACATCATCTCATGGCGGTGCCCACCTAGCACCACCATTGAGCCAGCTCGCAGTCGAAGAAACCCATCGTTGAAGTAGCCAACCGCACCTTGCGGAGGCCACCGACCAGCACCTGCCGCTGGATCTGCCAACCGCCGCGAAAGCTGGATCAGCGGACGCAACATGAACCACCAATCCTTGTCAAGCACCATGCCAACAGGGACTAGGGAAATGCCGCCCGAGGCCATGAACCACCTCGGTTCCTAGGCGTGACCAAGCCCCCACACGCACAAGCATCACGCTCGCCCGCCGGAGAACGGAGAAGATCGAGCGGCCTCCGGCGCGCTCCTGCATCCTCACAGCGAAGTCGCTCCACCATGCCGCCCTAGCAGCAGCTCCTCACCGCGCAACCTCCCGGTGGCAGATCTGTGCCGCCGGACCCTCGTGCTGCACCTTTTAGTCGATATCTTTTCGGCGTTCTACAATCTGGCAACAAAGTTAATTCAATCTGACAACTAAGTAGGTAATAATATGCAAGTAAGTGATAGTAATCTGACAAGTATAGACGAAAAAAAAGTTACAGAAATATGCCGACATGGGATCCATTTTGAAGAGCTCGCCGCGGGGAAGCTAATGACGAAAGCGGATCATCAACCGGGTTAACGGTTTTGTTAGATAAAACTTTTTAAAAATTTGGATAAAGAATCTTTCGCTGATCTCATGCTTATGTGTCATAGTTGCATGTAAGAGAGTGGGAGGAAACCACCGCATGGGAAGACCACCGTGTGGTGCTGCTAACTAGTGTTGTCCATCTAACAATTGGGTCTCTCGTAAAGCTACTATCTTATACTCCCTCCGTTCCTAAATATTTGTCTTTCTAGATATTTTAACAGTGACTACATACGAAGCAAAATGAGTGAATCTACACTCTAAAATATGTCTACATACATCCTTATGTGGTAGTCCATTTGAAATGTCTAGAAAGACAAATATTTAGGAACGGAGGGAGTATATCTTATATGAGAAAATAGTTACAAATTTGCGTGTTAATCAAAAAAGATGTATCTAGAAAATTATCTATCCGCATTATGTGTGTTTTGGATCTCATATGAAGGATTGTGGATGTATTAGGTCCTATATAGAGATACATGTTATGTTGAACAGTGTGCATCAATTTCAATTAAATCTATCATTGTGTGTGGGACAAACTTCCATAAAAAATGGCTGCAGATAAGATACATGTGTGCAGGTTTAATTTAAGTTTTTCTGTAAATTTATGCTGGACAGAGTGCATTCCAGTTAAGCAATAACAATTGGGATATGGTCTCCGAACTAACCCCAGATAGCAATATGATAAAGCCTGAAGTTTTTGCTGCAACCATTCTTACAACTATCAGGTCATCATGCTATCACGTAATTGTAATACATATAGTCGCAAGTATCTAACAGAATTGGAAGAGTGCACATACATGTAAACCTTCTAATCAGTAATTAGACATAGACCAACAGGAAAGGGAACATATTCTTAAAGTGGATGATGAAATTAGAACTCAGGTACTAGATGTAACAACCATGTATGCCCACCATTGAGCTACCCTGCAATACCTTAATCAGTCATTAATCAAAAGAATCTAATTGCTTTCTAGGTGCTTTGTAGTTATAGTCATCAAAAAGCGTATTTGCAAGTATTTTCTATGTATCTAATTCATACAAATTTTCCTTGTAACACTACAGTTTTTTCAGAACTTTCTCTCTTTGAAAGCCCATGCAAGTGTATGGGCTGGCTAGTAATTTGGTTAACCTATTGGGATTCAGTAAAATATCAAATATCTTTTATAATAACTTTTTTTATTATATTTACTTGAAAGATTTCTTTGAACATTCTAAAGTTTAGAGCCGACCTGCAGATGGTTTAGTTCACAGCATTTTAAAAAGTGCAGCAGCTTTTAGGCTTAGGGGTTTGATAAAGCTTGAAATTGTCACATTTCTGCTGTAGCTGTCTCACGGACTTTGCCCAATATTTCAGGTCGAATGTATTTCCTGCGGATACACATCATTTGCGTCCAGAGATGACATCTTAAGAAATGGCTAGCGAGATCAGGCGATCAGCCAGACAAGAAGCCTGCTACTGATGCTCGCAATGAGAACACGGAGGCTTACATGGAGAGGCAGACCATAGTCTAACATGCGAAGCGGGATGAACCCTCCCTGCGCCTGCAACTAATCATGGGTCGTGATATGTAGAATGACCATTCACAAAAAAAAAGATATGTAGGATGACATCAGTGTTAGGCGCCTGTTGATGCTTGGAAATGGCATGATCGCAAAAAGTTACTTGAGGTTGTAGCAAGATAAGGTCAAATTCATGATTTCATGTCACCATTGGATGACTCTTCAAGCCGGTCAAAATAGATATAGAGATGGTCCAAAACGGAGCTCGGATGCAAAAGTTATGACAATCTTAAGGATGCTCGTATTGACATCAGATTAAAGAATGGCATGAAATCTAATTAAGATGGCCTTCGATAGAAAAAGTTAAAATTGTAAAGTTCTTCGTCTCCTCGAAACGGACGATTTTGATATAAAAATCGTTCCAATCCGAGGTTGTATGAGTTCTACAGCCAAAACTGTGCGCTGCAGCATGGCATGGTCAGATCATCCGAACCGGTTCCAGATCATCCGACCGAGGGCTGAACGAACGATCCAAAGAACAAAATTGTGCGCTGCAGCATTGCATGGTCGGATTATCCGGACCGGGGTCCAGATCATCTGACTGATGATGATCTGGGTGTAGTCCCGGATGATCCGGGTAGAGGCCGGACGATTCGGACAAAGATCGGACGTCTGGACAACTTTTTCTGCTGCAGACTTCATAAAACTGCCTGAAACACCCTCAAGATGACTTCAAATCAGAAAGTGTTGAACAACAAAGTTGTGCGTCTCGTCGAAACGGTTGATTTTGATATAAAAATCATCTTAATCCGAGTTCGTATGAAAAAGTTACAACCCGATTAGTGGGCTGCTGTCAGAAATTTGGGCTTGGTCGGATCATCCGGGCCTAGAGCTGGACATCCGGGCCGGAGGTCGTGAGAAGTCCGAATTTGGTTAGATTTTGTTGATTTGGAAGGCAAGGCAAGTTCTTTTTTTATACGGGAAGTCCACCTGCCTCTTATATAGATAAGAGGTGACGGCCGATTGAACAACAACATACAATCGACATATCAATCTATTAATCTTTTACCTTTACTTTTACCTTTTCCCTTGTTCTTCTTTTCCTCGTTCTTTGTTCGTTCTTCTTGTTGCAGGGCGGCGAACCTCGAGGGCCTAGGGGCAATCAGGTCGACCTAGGGCATCCCATACCCGCCGCGCGCCCTGACGGGGTCCTTCCCGGGCGTGTGGGGTTTCGGGTCTACAAAAGCACCCACCATATTGCTTGCGTACCGCGCTTCTGGCTGGGTCTCCTTCGACGTGAGCCGCAGTGCATCACCCCCGGCGTCGAGGGTACACGGTGGCGTGTTCGTGTGCGAACAACGCCTAGGATGTTCCGGAAAATCTAGGGCGCATCTTTTGACGTGTCAAACTCTTCCAACAACATATTCATGACGAAAAAGGGTTTCCACCGCTTTACATTATAAAGCAACCGCACCAAGCATCCAAGAACGTCATAAGTTCAAGGACAAAGAAAAGAAGCAAGTGCCATAAAAACAAAACAAATCTGACTAGGGGCACAACACAACAAACCCTTAGAAACAAATGACTAGCTAATCCAGCTTATGCGGCGGTGCAGGAGTCGAAGGTGCAAGGGATCCTACGGAGGAATGAAGGTCGACAATGATCACTCGATGTAGTCGCTATGTCGCCGCTTGCTAAGCGGTCGACAGAGCTGCAGGAAGCCACACAATTTGTATATAGCATCAGTCGCACGCTGCGGAATCACATGCTTGATCACAAGTTTATTATGCACATTCCATAATGTCCATGCTAGTGCGCCTATGGCAACCCACATGGATGGGCGGATCTCACAAGGAGAACTAAGGGCCTCACGAAATAAATGTGGGAGGTTATCGCGGCACCAATTCCCGCCTACCACTTCCCGGAAGCAACTCAAAGGAAGATTGCGGCCGGACAATGGAAGAAGATGTGGTTGGTATCCTCTGGCATGTCGCAAAGAGGGCATTGCCCATCACTAGCGCCATTGCGTTTAAGCACCTCCATACCCGAGGGTTGACGGCCGCACACCCATTGCCAAAGGAAGGTCTGAATCTTCATTGGCAGTTTAATCTCCCAAGAGATTAAGCTCCTGCGGTCCTGGAGTGGCCAACAATGCCTTATAGAGAGACTTAGTGGAAAGCAAGCCACTTGGCTCGAGATGCCAAGATACGACATTAGGCTCTAGGGAGGGCGAGTGCAGGGCGATACACTCCAACAACTCCTCCCACCAGACCTGCTCCTGAGGACCGAAGGTACGTATGAACGTGACACATCCAAGGTCCGCCAGGCTGCCCTAACCGTGAGTTGATGGTGGGTACATATACTATAGAGCGAGTAGAATCGTTCAGCAAAAGGCCTATTGCCAGACCATCGGTCCAACCAGAATAAGGTGCTCGTGCCCGAACCAACATTAACTGAAGATCCTATCTGAAGAACCGGCAACAGCTGGGGATTGATTGCCAGAACTGGGAACTGCCCGCTCTAGGGGCAAAGGCGAGTAGCTGACCACACAAATATTTAGCGCGGATAATCTTGAGCCATAGTCCCCCATCTCCGGTCTCGATATGCCAAAGCCACTTGGACAGGAGGGTGATGTTCATTTGTTTGGATGAATGACCCCGATTCCCCCTGGTCTTTGGGTTTGCAGATCTCAGACGACTTAACCATGTGGTACTTCTGCTTATTACCCTTCCCCGCCCAGAAGAACCGGGATTGGTACTTAGCAATATCCCGATGGAGGGATTCGTGCAAACTATATAATCCCATTAGGTACATCAGTAGGCTAATCATGGAGGAGTTGATAAGTACAACCCTCGATGCCTTCGAAAGCCACCGTCCTTGCAATGGCTTAACCCTATGCTGAACCTTGGCCACTGTAGGACGGAGGTCCTTCTCCTGGATCCGGGGATCACTAATTGGCATGCCGGGGTAGGTTGTCGGGAAGGACCCAAGTCGACAATTAAGTCGATAAGCTATGCGGTGAGACTCCTCAACAGAATACCCCAACACCATTACTTCACTCTTTGCGAAGTTTATGGTCAGTCCCGACATCTCTTGAAAACATAGGAGGAGGAACTTTAGATGTGTGGTGTCCTAGTCCGAGCCTTCTACCATCAGGATCGTGTCGTCGACATATTGCAGATGGGTTAACCCCCTGGCAATGAGGTGAGGACAAATACCCCTAACATGACCGGCCCTTTTGGCAAGGTTCAAGCTCGCCGCTAGAGCATAGACCACGAGGTTGGAGGGGAAGGGGGAGAGCGGGTCTCCCTATCGAACCCCTTGTACCATTCGAAAGTATGGGCCTACCTCCCCATTGATGTTGATTCTCATGCGTCCACTCGATACGAGCTGCATGACATGAGCAATCCAATGGGGGGGGGGGGTAGAAGCCTCGCTTCGACATAACTTCCCGAAGGAAGGACCAGTGGACCGTATCACATGCCTTATGGAAGTCGATTTCGAAGAGCACCACTTGGAGGTGTCTCCTTTTAACTTCATGGAGCACCTCATGGAGGACGAGGATTCCATCTAGAATATACCGCCCCTTGATGAATGCCGTATGATTAGGATGGTGTATCTGAGGGGCTATCAGGGCCGCCCTAGTGGCGTACCCCTTGGCCAAAATCCGAAAGGTCACATTGATTACCGCGATTGGACGAAACTGTCTAATGTCTGCGCCCCCCTGAACCTTCGGGATAAGCGAAATGATCCCATAGTTTAGGCGTGAGACATCTAACGTTCCTCGGGAAAAATCGAGGAACAAGGCGAGGATATCTCCCTTGATGGTGTGCCAGAACACTTGGAAGAAGGGAACTAGTATCCCATCAGGGCCCGGAGCCGAGTCCGGGTTCATAGATTTAATGAAGGTCTCCACCTCCACCTTCTCAAAGGGAGCGAGCAGGGCGTTGTTCTCATCGATAGACACATGTTGATCCTCCGCCCAAATAGAGTCCGCTAGCGCGATGCCTCCCCTAGGACGTTCGACGAACAATGCCTTACAAAAGCCGTCCGCATGACTCCTGAGTTCGTTCGGATCCTGGATCATCCGTGCACCATCCCACAAAAGGGAGGTGGTGCACCGTCTACGGCGGCCAAATAGAGTCCAGTTCATGGAGCCCCGTTGACGCCAATATTCTTGATCCTTAGAGTAAATGTCCATCAGAGTATCCTCAAGATTGTATCGTAGAGCCCAGTCGTCGAGGATAGGCCGAGGCCATCAGCACACAAGTCTAGGGCCTGGATCTCAGCAAGTAGTATACTCTTCTGGACCCTAAGATCATGCTCCACGTTGGCACCCCAGCCCTTCATGAATTGTCTAGAGCGTTTGGCGAGATGGTGCCATTCATCCAACACAGACATGGCTTTGTGCGGTTTGGCCCTGGCCGCCACCCAATGCTCCTTAATCGCAGAGATGAAACCCGACTGGCGGGGACAGAAGATTTCAAACCTCAAGTGAGGTGGGGGGCGAGGAAGCTCATCTTGCCATGACAGCAAGAGGGGGACGTGATCGGAGCTGATCCGACTGATCGCCTGAAGCGTGGCTAAGGGAAAACGAAGTTCCCACTATGGGGACATAAATACCCGGCCAAGGACACTCTAGGTGGGGGCCACTTGTCTATTAATCCAGGTATATCTAGCCCCCACCTGGTCTAATTCGCGGAGGCCAAGATCTGCGATCCAATCATTAAAATGTTGCATACCCGAGAAGTCAACTCGGGTATTATTTTTGTAAGATGCCGAGCGAAGCAGGTTGAAGTCCCCACACACGATGACCGGGAGGGAGGTGGACCCAATCTTACTACGTAGCTCCTCAAGAAAGGCCAATGATCGTCGATGGTTCACCGGTCCATAGACGACAGTCACCTCC